AATGAATAAAAACAGTGAAATGCAAACTCAGAATATTATGCAAACCTGCAATAATTAAATCTTTTAAATAATACAAATATACTTTATGTATTTAATCTCACTTTGCTGTCAATTAATCAATGTCTTTGCTGGTGACCTTCGATGATCCCATTCAACCATCCGAATAAGCAAAAATTACTGTTTCATTTTTATTTTGATTGTTTAAGTAAGCCCAGCCCAGGTGAGAAAAAGTTTCGCAAAAGTAGCGTAACGCATTATTTTTCATAAAAAGTAACTAAGTATTGTAATTAGTTACTTTTTAAGGGAGTAACGCAATAGAAGTAACCTTCTCCAACACTGGTCTATTGTACTTAATAAAGAGTATAAACTATCTATAAAATCGCATCTTGGCTTTAAAAATGTACTTACTAGAGTAATTACAATGACTGAACCTACTCCTAATCCTAACCTTTACCTAAACCCATGTAGTTACCTTATATTACAGTGTTTTCTGGGGTACGTGCACTGTAAGTACACGTACATTTGTATCGTTAGATCATTTCGGGTAAGATGAAACCCAAAACTTACTTTTAAAAGGGCTAATCCGGCATTTTCTCTCAAAAAATCAAGTCGTCACCGGCGTGCAATGAATCTTGGGATAGACTAGGCTGTGAACGATCCACTTTCTATCCTTCGTGTCCCAGGGAAAGACGAACGCATTAGTAGGCCACATTCGAAGGAGCCTTCTGTGACGCCTTCGGCCTTCGAAGGATGCAGCCTCTGAATTGGGACGCAGCTAAAATGTGTGTTGTTCGCAAGTGGTGCTCACTGCAGAGCCAAATGACGTCCAGCTACCCCTCTATGGACCTAATGGGTGGAGCTTGACCTAGTCCGGCTTCACCTCTGTGGACCTAATGGGTGGAGTTATGTTTAGTGATAGGGTTCGGGTTAGGGTGTGGTTGTACCTTATAGCTTTACCCATTATCTCCAGTGAGCGGGACCTGGATGTCAAGCTCCACTTATTGGCTCTGCACTGAGCAGCCTCTCGTTGTTCAGGGGCTCCAGGACCAGTGTTGATCTAGATCAGTGATTCACGAGTTCACACTTACAAATAATATGTATTTGGCGTGTTGTCCCAGGGGAGGGCTCCGAGTTTGTCCCGAACCCAGAGTACTCCCCCTGGTTATATATGTATACAGTATGTATATCTGGTTAGGATAGTAACCAGGCGAGTATGAAGAGAGGGGGGTATATATATATATTGTATTTCGTAAAAAAGTGGGTCGAGGCTTAACAGCCATGGGAAAATGTGGGTCCCATGACCAAACCAGTTGAGAACCATGATCTAGAATAGATTAATCACTGATCTAGATTATTTGAGATGATACAAAACAAATATTTTTTTCTTAGATTTCAAAATTGGGGAAAATTCATTTCAAGAACTGCCAGTCCAATCGTCACTTTCTGTATCAGACTGCACATTTTGTGCTATTGTGCATGTCCGTTCTGAGCTAGACGAATCACGTGAAACCAACCCTCAACATTAGCAGCACTCATCTGACGCATTCTTTTCTGCTTCCCTTTTTCATTCAACATTAAATACTGACAGGCTTTCATTATTTCTCATAACTTCATAATTCCTCTCTCGCTTTTTTCTCCCCTTACAAAAATGTAGGCTACTGTGATGATATTAGACAGTGATACCATAGAACGTGTCTTTTGAAGTCAATATATTTCCCATTACGTTTTATGCCACATTATTCACTCTTATTGTCTGTGGAAAATGTAGCACTGTTTATGTTTGTGTAATGTTAACCTACTACCCACTTCCTGCTGCCAATTCCTTCACTTTTAACATGCTCTTTCATATCGAAGTGCTACCAACATTCAGTGGAAGCAGAAATATGATCATTTTTGAGAAAAGGACTGAAATATAAGTTGATTCAGAGTGGCAAAGCACATGACCATTCAAAAGTTTGGGGTCAGTTAGTTTTTTAAAATGCTTTTAAACGAAGTCTGTTATGCTCACCAAGGCTGCATTAAAAAAATAGAGAAAAAATTCACATTTAACACTTCTGCACTCTAAAAATGTTTTTATTAGTACCAAGCAGGAGATAAAATATACAAATGTTTGTATTTTTTATCTCCTGCTTGATACTAATAAAAAAAATTTGAGTGCAGACCTTTATTGCATTTTCATACCGATATATAACTCTAATGTACTTAGCTTGGAGAGTACGGAGTGCTTTGATTAAAAGATTAAAACTTAAAATAACTGTTTTCTTTTTTAATATGAAAAGTAAAGTTTTAAAAATGTAATTCCTGTGATCAAAGCTGAATTTTCAGCATCATTCCTCCAGTCTTCAGTGTCACATGATCCTTCAGAAATCATTCTGATATGCTGATTTACTGCTCAAGAAACATTTCTGATTATTATCAATGTTGAAAACAGTTGTGCTGCTTAACATTTTTGTGGAAACCATATTTTTTTCAGGATTCTTTAATGAATAGAAAGTTCAGAAAAACAGCATTTATGATCAATTTAATGCATCCTTGCTGAATAAAAGTAATATTATCTTTAAAAAAAAAAATTTACTGACCCCAAACTTTTGAACCATAGTGTATTATATTCTCTTGCAAAAAAACAAACAAAAAAGTCAAATGGTTTTGGAATGGTGGGTAAAGGATTCTAGGTGAATTCAGACAACATCATAGAGTTGGCCCAGATCCGGCCCACATCTGGTACACCTGGATTCCACATGGCCCAGGTGTGGGCCGGATTTGGGCTGAAACTATGTTGCTATATTCCTTTTAACTCTCATATCTCAAATGATGTTCTTGAAGACTTGAAGTACACAAACCTTCACAGGTAAAGCACCTCCTAAATACCATCCACACACACACACACACACACACACCAACTCACAGATGCAGGCTGCGGCCAGCAGACGATTGGCTACATAGGGCGCTATACACGTTGGAAAGATGGGCTGCACCATGTAGTTGGAGAAAGTGATGGCTATCACGGCCTGACTGGTGGGCTCGATGATCAGAAGAGAAGTCCATAGACGGATGAAAGCCAAAAAGCCCCCAAAGGCCTCCAGGATGTAAGCGTAGCTGGCGCCCGACTTGGTGATGGTGGTCCCGAGCTCGGCATAACAGAGCGCACCAAACACCGAGAAGATCCCACCGACTGTCCATATTACCAGAGATAACCCGTAGGAGCCGCTATACATCAGTACGCCTTTCGGTGAGACGAAGATCCCGGAGCCGATCATGTTTCCCACGATGAGGCACACGCCATTGAGCAAAGATATTTCTTTTTTCAGTTTCATGCACTCCTGCGAGCCGCTTGCCTTCAGGTCACCGTTCGTTACCTCCGAGGACGGCTCTTCTGTGGGAGCAGGACTGTGAGACGCCATTGTTTTAAAATACCTGATAGATACCAATAAGACTGTCTAAACCAGTTCTACAGTCAGTTTTAGGAAGATCTGAAAAGTTCCCAGCTAGTTCTTGAGATCTTGAGGTGACATCTGGGAAAGATAGAAGGAGAGTGTTCAGTACTTATGCAAACACACACACACACACACACACACACACATGCATGCACATATAATAATCTCCAAAGAAACAGGGCAATCATAAAGAGCTCACATACACACTCTTGCTTTTCAAACGTACATGTGGCTATTACTGATCCATTAGACGTCAGGGCAAATGGCTTTTTAAAGGTGTGTAAACACAGACCCGGAGAAAGACGTCTACATGTAAGTGAAACATCCAGCTTGCTCGTATTCCTTACTGCGTGAGACAGGATTGTGTGTCTTAGCCAACAGCTTACTCAGTCGCCATCCCTGACGTGAACATTGATCCACCTGATCGCTATTCAACCAAGACCAAGTGGAGGGATTTTTAATAGCCTGTCAAGTCCAATTCAACTCTCTCTCTCTCTCTCTCACTATTAGTGTGGAGACTTCTTGGTGCGTCAGCATACTGATGTGTCACATGCTCCTCAAGGTTCAATGGACTCAAAAGAGCTACGCTCAAAAGCACAAGCTTTGAACCGTCTTCACATGATGAAATGAAAAAATGCACATACAGGGTCATGTCTAGTTAATTGACAGCTTGTATATTCGAAGCTCAAAGTTGAGAGCCATTGATGCTGACTATGACAATCTATACACTGACGAGGCATGATTTTTGGTATCGGTTATCTAATAAGAGTTAATGACATCCTGAAATCCGAGAGGAATAAATGGGAATTTTACACTGCGGAATTCTGGATTCCATGACTGTTTAAATTCTAAAAGAAAAAAAAAAAAGAGATATTTTCAATATCAGTTGCAATTGTTCCCACCTTTCACACACTAACTCGGCAGTCATATAAATCTGACGAATTGCCCTGTGTAATGGTTAGGAAGGTCTTATCACAAAAGAAGAAAGTCGCATTCAGGAAAGACAAAAAGAGATAGAGAGGATGATTAAAGAGCTGAGCTGAGTGGGTGGACAACAGTAGGCAATTACTGCACGTGATAATTAAAAAACCACACCAATGCAAGATCTTTAGGGACTGAGAGCAAGGTTCAGGACATGCTGATAAGAGCTCTGATAAAACAACAACAACTATAAAACAAAATCACTCAAGGTTACAGCCTAAGCCACCGTAGCTTGCCTCAAAGATTAAGTGAAAATGATTTTCCTCAGAAACTAACTGTATAGAAACTACTTAGCAGAAAATTGTATGTGAAGGTTTATATGGATAATCCATTCATGTAAGCTTAAATCTTGCCCATATACAACAATATACATTTTTATAATGAGGTCTATGTGAATAAAAAAGCGTGATGAAATAATTCTGACCACAGTAAGTCCTACATCAGAGCTGAGAAGAATGGTTTTGCATTACCTTTTCCTCCAGGTGCTGAACTGGCATGAGGATGCAGCTTGTACTGTACTGGTGCTTTATCTGCCGATCATTTTCCTAGACACGATCTAAGTCGAAGTGCAGTTCGTGTTATTTCGCCCTGTGAGATCTCAGTCTTATGGTCTCTGTCACGGCGACTCGTGCTCGAGGTCTCTTCCGTTCAGCTCGTGCGTTCGAGACGTTCACTGTAGATTGATGAACTTCTGCTCTCGGTCAAACACTGATGCGTGAGGGGAGGAGAAAAGGGATGGAACACAGCGCGATAAACTACTGAACCATTATGATGAATGCCTGGGGAAACATTTGATAAATGCCATCTAAACACATCTCAAAATATTCTGTGGTGGAGACATTAAGGTAAGCTATCTGAATATAGCAGAGTTGTTGTGGTTTACTAAAAGTATTAAAATAGTTTTCGGTAGCCTAATTGAGATATGAATAATGCAATAAAATATTAATAAATCAGAAATGTTGCTTTGGCTACTGAAATAAATATTAAATAAAGCTATATATATTGTACGGTAGGCTGTATGAAATATTATGTGGGCCTATATGTTTATGAAGCCAATTTAAAATAGTGATAAATACCGTAATAGTAACATAAAAATAATACTAAAAAAAAAACACTTACAGAAACTGACTTAAAAAAACATACCCTGATAAATATTCACTGAAGTAAAACGTGTGACAACTACCATTGGTGTAATCTAGGATGGGTGGATGGATGGATGAATCAATGAATAACCATCAAATGATCTTATAGCCAATTTTAAGCATGTTGCGTTCTGAATGTTGTATTTACTCATATACTACCATAAACTACCCTATAAAAATTATTATGTTACTCAAAATGAGTGCTTAGTTGTAACTGTTTTTGAGAGCGGATGTTTGGATTATTTACGGCACACACCTGTACATGTGTCGCCATCGTGTGGTCAGAATTGGACGTTACTACACAATACACTGTTTTTACGGATTTGCAAAGGAAACACTTTTCCATTGCTGCCGTTTTACCTCTACTTCAGTACTTTTATAACACTTTACAACTTTCTATGTTATGGTTCCATGTAATATATATATCATATAGCCTACATATCAGAATCTCTCCTCAACTGCCACCAGTGTGCAGCATCCATATACTACATATGTGGGCCGATGTACTGTATATATTCTATATATTAAATATTCATTTTACATATTATAAATGAGTACACCCATTTGAAAATTAAGATTTTTTATCCATTTCTCAGTGAATATAAGACCAATTTGCTGCTTTTTTTTTTTTTTTTTACAAAAGTTTTGTTAAACGTTTATTTTTATTAACATAAGAGTGTGGTCACCTAGCATCTTTTGGATAAGAAAAATAATACATTTAATTCAAATTAGGTGTTGCAAAAATGATTACACCCTGCAACAAATTAAACTAAATCTAATCATTTGTATGGCTGGATGCTGGATGGAGAAAGAAGTTCAACTTGTCTTTTCAGAACTCTATTGGGTTGAGGTCTGGTGACATGCTTGCCCACTGAATCACTTTCACCCTGTTCTTCCTCAGAAATGAGCCAGTGATCTTAGATGTCATTTTTGGGTCATTATCATGTTGGAAGAGGGACCGGTAGCATCTTCTCATCTTCCCCACTCTAGAACACCACCATGCTTTACCGTTGGTACCATCAGATTAATCTTTGTCTCATCACTCCAAAGTATAGAGTCCCAATCGCCTTCGTCAACACGAGGCAAATTCTAGACGCTTTTTTTTTGTGCATGGGCTTCAGCAGTGGCTTCCTTGGTGGACGACAGCCATGCATGGCACTCCTCCACAGTGTACATCGCATGGTGTCACTGGAAACCCTCACCCCAGTTTGACTTTCTAATGATTTAACCAACTGTGCTGAACTTGCATGGAGATTTTCTTCAACTTCTGTCATCACAAAACACTCTTGACAAGGTCTGACAAGGCCTGGACGTCTCAGCGAGCTTCCCACAAATCCATCCTTTTTGAATAATTTTGCAACAGTATTCAAACGTATTAGCAACCAACCCAGACAGAAACATAGTGTCGGCCCAGATCCGGGCCGCATCTGGAACATGTGGATACAACACGTACCAGATGTGGGCTGGATCTGGGCCGACACTATGTTTCTGTCTGGGAATGCTTTACTAATTTTCTTATAACCTTGATATTTTTTTTTGGGCAAAGAAATTATCTTTTATCTCAGGTCTTGTGACATTTCTTTTCCATGTGGTGCCATTTTGTCAGCATTATGGGAGTGGATTTTCTCTCTTGAATACCACTCTTAAATTATCCTTTGGCCGTCTGTATGATGATTGATTGATTGATTGATTGATTAGATTCATCTGCTGGTGAATTCCTGTTAATTACAATTAGGGGTGTAACAATATATCGTGCCACAATATATCGCAATACAAAAATGCAACAATACGTATCGTGGATAGTGACAATATGTATCGTGGATCGTTCCCCCAAAATAAAAATTACTGTGTGAGAAAAAAATTCAATTTTTTCAGAGTTTTAGTGTCAGTACTACATTAAACTACTATACATAATGTTTATTATAATGTATAATAATAAAATGGGGGAATGTTTGTGTGTCCTTATAATGCCAAATGTCTTATGTTACCAGTAAAAAGTGTCCTACATTATTTTAAATATATCTAGTCAGTGACAGAGTGCAAGCATATTCATCTAAAATAAATCTGTATTTTCAGCTTCAGAATCATGAATATTTTTATTCTGGTGTCACCATTGTCCTTGGGTTACAAGCAACAAGTTCAAACCTATTCATTTAAACCCACAATGTACAGGTCCTTCTCAAAAAATTAGCATATTGTGATAAAGTTCATTATTTTCCATAATGTAATGATAAAAATTAAACTTTCATATATTTTAGATTCATTGCACACCAACTGAAATATTTCAGGTCTTTTATTGTTTTAATACTGATGATTTTGGCATACAGCTCATGAAAACCCAAAATTTCTGTCTCAAAAAATTAGCATATCATGAAAAGAGTCTCTAAACAAGCTATTAACCTAATCATCTGAATCAACTAATTAATTCTAAACACCTGCAAAAGATTCCTGAGGCTTTTAAAAACTCCCAGCCTGTTTCATTACTCAAAACCGCAATCATGGGTAAGACTGCCGACCTGACTGCTGTCCAGAAGGCCATCATTGACACCCTCAAGCAAGAGGGTAAGACAGAAAGAAATTTCTGAACAAATAGGCTGTTCCCAGAGTGCTGTATCAAGGCACCTCAGTGGGAAGTCTGTGGGAAGGAAAAAGTGTGGCAAAAAACGCTGCACAACGAGAAGAGGTGACCGGACCCTGAGGAAGATTGTGGAGAAGGACCGATTCCAGACCTTGGGGGACCTGCGGAAGCAGTGGACTGAGTCTGGAGTAGAAACATCCAGAGCCACCGTGCACAGGCGTGTGCAGGAAATGGGCTACAGGTGCCGCATTCCCCAGGTCAAGCCACTTTTGAACCAGAAACAGCGGCAGAAGCGCCTGACCTGGGCTACAGAGAAGCAGCACTGGACTGTTGCTCAGTTTTGCATGTCATTCGGAAATCAAGGTGCCAGAGTCTGGAGGAAGACTGGGGAGAAGGAAATGCCAAAATGCCTGAAGTCCAGTGTCAAGTACCCACAGTCAGTGATGGTCTGGGGTGCCATGTCAGCTGCTGGTGTTGGTGCACTGTGTTTTATCAAGGGCAGGGTCAATGCAGCTAGCTATCAGGAGATTTTGGAGCACTTCATGCTTCCATCTGCTGAAAAGCTTTATGGAGATGAAGGTTTCATTTTTCAGCACGACCTGGGACCTGCTCACAGTGCCAAAACCACTGGTAAATGGTTTACTGACCATGGTATTACTGTGCTCAATTGGCCTGCCAACTCTCCTGACCTGAACCCCATAGAGAATCTGTGGGATATTGTGAAGAGAAAGTTGAGAGACGCAAGACCCAACACTCTGGATGAGCTTAAGGCCGCCATCGAAGCATCCTGGGACTCCATAACACCTCAGCAGTGCCACAGGCTGATTGCCTCCATGCCACGCCGCATTGAAGCAGTCATTTCTGCAAAAGGATTCCCGACCAAGTATTGACTATTGAGTGCATAACTGAACATGATTATTTGAAGGTTGACTTTTTTTTTTGTATTAAAAACACTTCTTTTATTGGTCGGATGAAATATGCTAATTTTTTTAGACAGGAATTTTGGGTTTTCATGAGCTGTATGCCAAAATCATCAGTATTAAAACAATAAAAGACCTGAAATATTTCAGTTGGTGTGCAATGAATCTAAAATATATGAAAGTTTAATTTTTATCATTACATTATGGAAAATAATGAACTTTATCACAATATGCTAATTTTTTGAGAAGGACCTGTAATATCAAAGTTAGCATTTTAATCAACAGTACATTTTTTGTTAACCTTTTATCATATGTCTATGAGTATCGCAATAATATCGTATCGTGAGTTCAGTATCGTGATATGTATCGAATCGTGACATGAGGGTATCGTTACACCCCTAATTACAATTTTATTTAGTTTTCTCCTAACACATTCATTGGGGTGTACTCATTTTTGCACCATGATCTTAAATTATTTTCTTAAAATAGTTCCAATTTTGCCTTTGGTACTGACTAATTTGATCTAATTTAAAACCAATAAAAGCTGATTTTTCTTTGTATAGGATCCCATAGAAAGTATTTAAGAGTGAGATGGATGTTTTTCTGAGAAATCTGACATGGAGAGCATGCCAACTACCCATACTTGAAATGAGCAGTTTTTACCAGTATTTGAGAGCTATCTACAAACCAAGTCACTCTGCCACAAGGATCAGCCGGGCTCCTCTGAATGATGCATTATCATGTTTACTGTAGTTATTACCTCGTCATTTCATAATAAAAGACCCATTTTTGCAGTTGTGCCACCCTGACATAAAATTGCTGGACAAAAGTGTTTCAATTATCTCAACGGCTTTAAAACTACTGATATTAATGTTTATAAAATGATGCCACAGTATTTAGTTTTTAATTTTTTCATAATTAAGACGCCATTTGAAATCGTTTCTT